TTGTTTTTTTGGCAGCGTGTTTGGTTTTTTAGTGTACGAGCAAAATGGTAAACACGGTCAATTGCTTTTGTAAAGTTTGGTATCTCCCATTTTCTTTTTAAGTTCTATGCTATCTATCTAACATAATATTTGTTTTAGGTATACATTTATCTTATCGGTAGTATTCCAGCTGCTTATGACAAATGCCTCATTACTTAGACATTTCTATGGCATTTTTCTAGTTTTTCATGTATGTCTCCTCATTTATTTTTGAGAATTTATCTTTCCATAATTGTTCTTTTTGGAAATCATTTGATGAACATGGTTGAAGCTTGAAAATTATTTATGGTTGTTAACTTTTTTAGATACCTATGCCTTATTCAACTTCTTTATTTCTCATTTATTCTGCCCTTAAGTCCTTTGTTTTGGCTTGTAACTATTTTGATGGAATTGGCTGTTGATAACAATTTATTTTCCTTTCCTATGCCTTTTAAATTGCTTCTCTATATTTGGCTTTTTAATTGGATCAAGATCTCATTAATCCTATCTAACTTTAAATGATATGCTTTTCAACTCAACGTTGAACTGATATTATCTTGCTAATAGTTAGTGGTAATATCTTTATATTGGGTTGTCACTTGCTTTGTTTTATTAACCTCAAATAATGTATGTGTTATCTTAGCCATTGGCAAAGGTTGAATACTTCGTCAAAGAAAACCTTACATGTTTCTCCTATGTGAGATTATTGATTTTTTATCAAGACCTTACAACTTTTAACTTTTAGTAACCCATTTTGTGTTACACATGTGCACTAAAATGATTGTTAGAACTTGCTAGTTTAGTTTTGTATATTTAGCAATCCTTATACAAAAAGAAATCATTATACTTTAACAAATACGATATTAGATATGGCTAAATTTATATTATTGGTAAGAGGTTTATAATGGAGCTGTTGTATTATATGAGCATGCATTTATGCCTGTGTGCATGTGCAATCTTTGTCAAAGAAGCTTCATATTACAATTTTTAGAGTTAGTTACTCAAATATTTTTCACCATATGAGTTGGTAGTCAAATGCTATAAACCACTATATATTCAATCACTATGAAAGTAAAAATATAAAAAACAATGTTCTCTAACTTTTATTGAGAGATAATCCTCAAATATATAAAGGAACCAATATTTATAAAAAAATCCATAAAATTAATACATAATCATCTAACCATAAAAAGCAAATAAGTAAGTAATGATCAAAAAATAAATCCCAACAAATCAAAAAATAGATCTTGATTGCTGTCAACACTCCCCCGTAAGCTAGAAAATAGATATTTATTAGTCTCAGCTTGTTAACAAGTATCCTAAAATTTGGTTTAGGTAGTCCCTTTGTTAGGATGTTTGCTACTTGCTGTTTTGTAAGAACTATTGAAGTGGGTTATTCCACATCTAACAAATATCTATTTTTTTTGTAGTTTTATATTTAGATTGGGTCATTCCATTTACTGCCAATTGATTTTAGGTTGAATGCTTAATATGATATTAGAGCTATGATTTTTTTTATTACATTTTCCTAATCTGTCACGTAGTAAACTTCTTTCATCTTCGCTTACACGTAATGGGGGCCTATTAAAGTGGATTATCCTACATCTAATAAATATCTAATTTTTTATTATTTTATATTCAGGTTAGAGCCTTTCACTTACGTCAATTGGTTTTAAATTGGATACTTAACAAAAGCATAGGCCATGCAGATCACTCATATATCAATCTTCTCTTTGATAAAATGTCTATCAACTTTCATATGCTTTGTTAAACCATGATGCATGGATAATGAGTAATATTTATTGTAGCCTTATTATCGTAATACAACTTCATAGGGTGTTTCGTCAACACTTTAACTTTTTTAACAATCTCTTCACCTAAATAAGTTCACAAGTTTTTTGTGCAATGGCTTTAAATTCTACTTTTACACTGGTTCGAGTAACAACAGACTGTTTCTTACATCTACATATGACAAGATTATCCCAAACCTTCGTACAATATCTAAAAATAAATCTTTTATCTTCCATTGATCATGCTTAATCTGCATCTGTAAATGCTTTTCACATTTCTTTATTCATTCTTCTTAAATAACAACCCCTTATCTGGTGTGTTGTTCAAATACCTTAAGATTTGATACATAACTTTAAGATGCTCCTCAAATAGAGAATGCATATACTGACTCACTACACTAACTGCAAAAGTTATATTAGGTATTGTATGAGACAAGTAGATAAGCTTTTTAACTAGTCGTTGATATCTCTCTCTATCTACTGAAATTCCTTATTTTCTTTCAAACTTTAAATTAGAATTTATAGGTGTATCAATTCGTTTACAGCTAAGCATACCAGTTTCTTTCAAGAGATCAATTGTATATTTCTTGTGTGAAATAATAATACCATTTTTGTTCCTAGCAACTTCATTCTAAAAAAGTTTTTTAATTGTCCAAGATCATTAATTTCAAATTCGTTTCCAATAATTTTCTTTTGCTACTCTATTTTTTCTGTGTCATCACTTGTCAATATAATATCATCAACATAAACAATCAAAGTAGTTTTTTTTTCCATGTTATGAGTATTTGAAAAAAAGAATATGATTTGTTTGTCTTTGGCTAAATCAATGTTTTTTTACTGACTTTACAAAATGATCAAACTAAGCCTTTGGTGATTGTTTTAAACCATAAAAAGATTTCTTCAGTTTGCATACATTTTTGTCATTGTTTCCTTATTCAAAGTCAAGAGGCATGTCTATATAAACTTCTTCATTTAGCTTTCCATTAAGAAATGCATTCTTGACTTCCATCTAATGTAATAGTTAATCAAGATTAGCAGCTAGTGAAAGCAGTACGCTTATGGTATTCAATTTAGCAACTAGAGCAAAGGTTTCGGTGTAATTTACTCCAAAAATTTGAGTAAATTATTTTGCAACTAGATAGGCTTTGTGTCTCTCTATTCCATCATCTAAACTATACTTAATAGTAAACACCCACTTACATCCAATTAGTGTTTTTCCTCTGGATAGCTGCACAACATCTCAAGTCTTGTTTCTTTCTAATGCTATCATCTCTTCAAGTACAACAACTTCCTATTCTAAGATTTTTAAAGCTTTATGAATATTTTATGAGATTTGAGTTACCTCAATCTTTTCTATAATGGCATGAATACTGTAGACAAATGACTGTAGGATAGATAATTGGACAACAAATGTTAAGTGCAAGATCTTACACCTTTCCTGAATGTTATAAGTATATCTAGATCATCAGGTGGAGTGTTTATTGGTAATGGTGCTGTAGGCACAAGATTTTCTAATTCAGAATTTGCTTGTTGATTAGTATTCACTGGTGATAGTGCTATAGGCTCAGCATTTTCTGATTTAGAATTTACTTAAGGATTAGATTTTTAACAATGCGGCTAAGGCACAAAAGTTTATATTTCCTAAGGTTATGGTTTTTAACGTGAATAAACATGGAGCTTTATTTTTTTGTCGAGGACTAAGCATAGATGAATCTATCTATGTTTCCAACTTAGTTTTTGTTAGTGACACAATAAAAATAGTTGATGTTACAGGAAGTTGAATGAAAAAATCTCAAAGCCTAACTTTACTTAGTATCTCCCCTTGGAGAGTTAGTTTTGGGTAAAATGGTTGATTTTAAAAAAATGTGACGTCTAATGAGATAAATGTTTGGTTTGAGGATGGACAATAGCACTTATACCCTTTTTGAATATGAGAGTACCTAATAAATATATATTTTATAGCACTAGATTCTAGTTTCCCACAAGATGAACTTTTGTTGTGAACGACAAATCTTCGACCAAAGACTTTTGGGGATAAAAAAGTAAACAACTTAGTTTGTGGATATAATTCAAGTAACATGTTTAATGATATTTTGAAATTGAAAACTCTATTGAGAAGTCTATTGATCAAGTATGATACTATTAAAATAGCATATCAAAAAAAAAAAAAAAACTTAGGAACATTATTGGTAAATATGGTAGCACAAGCACTTTTTAATAGATGATGATTTTTATGTTTTGTAATCCCATTTTGTTGTAAAATGTTCACATAAGAACTTTGGTGAAAAATCTTATTTTCTTTTAAGTAATCACTAAGAATTGATTGAAGTATTACCTTTTATTATTTGTGGGAAAAATTTGGATTTGAGTTTGAAACTGTGTTTGAACCATTTTGTGAAATTACTGAAAATTATCTTAGTATCAGACTTGTCTTTTAATAAATAAATCCAATAAGTTCATGTGTGATCATCTATAAAAGTTAGAAACCACTTAGTTTAGTCATGTTATTTCCTTGTGAAGGTCCTCAAATATTATTATGAATTAAAGAAAAAAATTTAAAAAATCTATATGGATTAGTAGGATAAGAAATATGAGTGTGTTTGGTAAATTGACAAGTTTCACAAAAAAAGAATTGACATCTTTATTCTTAAAAAGAAAAAAAAAATTTTTAGATATAAAAAGCTAAGATGTCCTAACCTACTGTGCCATAAAAAGAAAAAATAATGAAAGCAAACCTTACTCTAATATCATAAAAGCAAAAATATAAAAAACAATATTTTTTAATTTTTATTGAGAGATAATCTTCAAATATACAGAGAAATCAACATTTACAAAAAAATTCATAAAATCAAGACACAATTATCTAAACATACAAACAAATAAGTAATAGCCAAAAAAAAAAAAATCCAACAAATCAAAAAATATATTCTGATATCTGTCAACAAAGCAGGAGATAGATCCTGATCGCTGTAGACACACGATCTTTCCTTGTCCCTATAAAACTATTCGAAGTCATCCTGATAATAAAAGTTTTCTAATATGTTACTTTATCAAGATAATATGAGTTTCTGCTCTCAGTTACTTTTTTCAAATAAGTTTTCTTTCTTCTCTCTCTCTCTCTTTTCCTTAAAATCAGAAACAGTGAATTTTCAGATTTGGTTAAAAAGTTAAATCAGATGGGTTACTGGTAGGGAATTATGTTTAATATAATCTATGGTGTGCAAATCCTTCAGACCTGCTGTGTGAGGCAACCTAAATTTATTTTGTGCAGTGGTGGAAACCCTTCAACCTACATCCTCAGTTTCTCGGGTCAAAATTCACCCTCCAGGTATATTTACCTTACCTTGATCATATCTGCTTTTTCTCTCCTCTTATGAGATCTTTATCTGATCATTTTTGTTAAACAGTGGATTATTTTCTGGAAACATTTGGAGAAACTTGTCTTCTTGGATTCCACTGAGGGAGACAGCTGCTCAGGTTTTGAGTCAATCACCTTTGGATTATTTTTTTATTGTTTTTTTTTATCTTGGCTAAAAACTTTGTGCTCCATGATATATTTTCATGCAGTAGTTGCTCTTAAGTTTTATCCCACGAAGTGCCTGTCTTTTGCCATATTTGGCTATTTTTTATGAAAAGAATCTTACGATTTCTCTATCATGAGGCTGAAACCCACGCCTTTGTTGGAGTGAATACCTTTAAGCATGTATGGTGAAATCATTTCATCTTGGAAGACAACTTTGAATTGTGTTCCTGATTTATTTTTGTGCTTTATCTTGACTGTGGCTTCCTTGAGCCCTATAATTTCAAAAGCCTAGTCAAGTATAAATTGATGTGATCATTCTGATAACTTGCATTCAACACAAGATGATCCCAGATTCCCTGGGAAAGGGAGAACTCTTGGTTCTGGTCAAAATACTGCTGTCAATTCGGATTTAAACCTAGAAGGTAGACTTTTGGATAATAGTAGTTCCAATAATCCTTCAGATAGTGCAGTGGCTGGTGCAGCGGAGTGGCGTTCAAAAGAAGGTATCAGAAGTGTTTTCAATCATATTGTTTTTCATTTGATTACTGTTCTGAATTTGGCCCAGTGATAGTGTCTTTTTTTTTCTTTTTCTTTTTCAGTTTGAAAGTTTGCCAATCTCAATTTGGCTTCTTTCATGCATTTCTGATTTAGAAGCTTGGCCACCATTTCAGGAACTTGATTTAGTGGTAATTGTGAAAAAACTAAGAAATAAATCAGTGTGAAAACTGAATGTATGTTGAAAAATTACTTATTAAGAATTATACAAGAATCTTAGGTTTATATACAACTAACTAGGAGTTAAACTAGGAAACTAAATCTTCCTAAAAAATTAATCCTATAATTGAGGGATTGTCTATCCTAATTTTAGGGATACAAATACTTAATTCTAGATATACAAATATAAATATACAGATTATAAGATTACAACAAGCTGTAAATAAGTATTTTCTCACACTCCCCCTCAAGTTGGTGAATATGTGTTTTTCATTCCTAGCTTGGAAATAATATTTTGAAATGTTGTACTACTGAGACCTTTAGTCAACACATCTGCAAGTTGACCCTTGGTTGATACATAAGGTGTACAAATCAACCCACTGTTTAGTTTTTTCTTTATGAAATGTCGGTCTACTTTAATGTGTTTTGTTCTATCATGTTGCACAGGATTGTGTGCAATGCTTATTGCAAACTTGTTATCACAGTAGAGTCTTATTGGTCCATTCCACTTGATTTTCAAGTCTTTCAGGATAATCTTTAACTATAGTAGTTCACAAATTCCTTGAGTCATCACTCTGAACTCTGCTTCAGCACTTGATCTTGCTACGACATTCTGTTTTTTACTCCTCCAAGTCACAAGATTATCACTTAAGAAAGTGCAGTAGCCTGAGGTGGATCTTCTATCAGTTACTGAACCTGTATAATCAGCATCTGTATATGCTTCTAGAACTAACTTTGAATTTCTTTTGAATAATATACCTCTTTCAGGATTGACCTTCAAATAGTGCAATATACGATAGACAGCCTGTAGGTGCACTTCTTTAGGACTATGCATAAATTGACTTACCACACTCACAACATATGCTATATTAGGTCTAGTATGTGAGAGATAAATGAGTCTTTCAACTAATCTTTAGTACATCTCTCTATTTACAGCAGCATCTTCATTAGCTTCTTTAATTTTATGATTAAGATCTATAGGGATATTTACAGATTTACATGCAAGCTTCTCAGTTTCTTTCAGAAGATCCATCACATATTTCTGTTGTGAGATAAAAATATCATGCCGTGAGTGAGCTACTTCAATTCCTAGGAAGTACTTCGATCTCCCTAGCTCTTTTATCTTAAATTCTCTAGCCAAACACTGTTTTAGAGATTCTCTCTCTTTTTCATCATCTCCAGTTACAATTATATCATTAACATACACTAATAGAACTGTGACTTTCTTTGAATTAGAGTGCTTGATAAAATAATGTGTGATCTTCTTGACTCTGTTTATATCCCATTGCTAGCATCACTTTGGCAAATCTCTCGAACCAAGCTTTAGGAGACTGTTTAAGGCCATATAAAGCCTTTTTCAGCCTGCATACTTTGTTTGCTTTTAGATGACCTTTAAATCCCGGTAGAACCTTCATATATATTTCTTCTTCCAAATCATCATGTAGAAAAACATTCTTTACATCAAATTGTTGAAGCTACCAATTATAATTTACAGCCAATGATAACAAAATTTTAACTGTATTCATCTTGGTAACTGGAGCAACGATTTCCTAGTAATCCACTTCATAGGTTTGAGTGTAGCCATTAGCCATTAACCTAGCTTTATATCTTTCAACAGTACCATCTGTCTTGTATTTTACAGTGAAAATCCATGTACACCCCACTGAATTTTTTTTTTTAGGCAATTCTACCAGTTCTCATGTCTGATTTTTCTCTAAGGCCTTCATTTCTATTTTCATGACTTACCTCTATTTCTCACTGGATAATGCCTCGGATATTGTAGTTGAAAAAAAATAGTGTTTCGACTCACAAGAAAATTTTTGTGGAATGGTGAAAATTTTTCAAATGACACAAAATTAGAGATTGATTATAGTGGATGCTTGGTACATTCTCTGGTTCCTTTCCTAATGGTAATAGGTAGATCATAATCACTAGTTATAGTTTTAGGAGATTCATGCTCATTTTGAGAAACATAGTCAAAAACTGTAATTACCTCATTTTCAGAGTTAGGATCAGGTTCTTGAACTAGCATTGGTTCAGGATCTGAAACTTTTTTTCTTGAGTACACCTGTAATTCCTTCATAGAATCAAGAATAATATTATCTTTTATCACATCTTTCGTATTTGGAATGGGTTCAGACTCAAATTCAATGTTTAACTTGGGCTCAGCAGAAACATGTTTCGACTCAGAAGAATTGGTGGATGTAAATGTTGAAGAAGGAGGCAAATCAAGTAAAAAGAAGTCTTTATCCTTATCTTCCATGAATGAAGTCTCTCCCTGAAGATAAGGTTGAGTAAAAAATGATTTATTTTCTTTAAAAGTGACATCTGTGACACATAAAATTTTTTGATGGGAGGATGATAGCACTTATATCCTTTTTGAGTTGAAAAATACCTCACAAAAATACACTTAATCGCTCTTGGATCCAACTTTTCCCTGTTATACTGTGAACATGAACAAATGATACAACCAAATATCTTAGGTATGAGATTGTTTGTGGTATTGAGGTTGGAATAAAATTATGAGAGTAGTTTCATAGGAGTTTTAAATCCCAAAACCTTTGAAGGTAACCTATTTATAATATGTGTGACAGTGAGAACAGCTTTTCCCTAATAAAATTTAGGTACATTTGCTTGAAAAGAAAGGCTCGGATTGTGGCTAGTAAATGGGTATTTTTCCTCTCTGTCACTCCATTCTGTTATGAAGTATTAACACAAAATAACTCATGGATAATCTTCTCTTTTTGGAAATAAGTAGATAGACTCTGGTTGAAGTAGTCTCTTACATTATCAAACCTAAATCTCTTGATTCTCGCTCCAAATTGATTTTGGATCATGTTTTGAAAGTTTAAAAATATACTATTCACATCTGATTTGGATTTAAGTAAAAAAATTCAAGAGATCCTGATACAATCCTCTATGAAGGAAACAAACCATCTCGTACCAGAAATATTAAAAACTATAGAAGGACCCCAAATGTCACTATGAATCAAGTAAAAGGGAATAGAACTTTTTTTGTTACTGATTGAAAAAGATACACGTCTATGCTTTGCAAGTTCGCAAACATCACAATGAAAATCTTTGACATTTAATCCTTTGAACAAAGAAGGGAACATGTTTCTCAAGATTCCAAAAGAAGGATGTCTAAGACGAAAATAATAAAGCCAAATTTTATCTTTATTGAAAGATTTTTCAGAAAAAAATGATAAAGGTAAACTATTCTTGATATTACTTGTGTTATTTGATGTCTTAAGATAGTATAATCTATCTTTCTCTTTAGCAAGTCCAATCATCTTCCTCGAACTCTGATCTTGAAACTCATAATAAGAGGGATAAAAAGTTACTTTACAATTCATATCTTTGGTAAGTTTTTGTATAAATATCAGATTAGTAGACAATCCAGGAACATGAAGAACATTTTGAAAACAAACGAGGGATTAACTTGAACATCTTCTAATCCTGTCACTGTGGTAAGTGAACCATCTGTAATAACAATTTTCTTATTACTAGGACATATGTTATATGTACTAAACTTTTGTGAGGAATATGTCATGTGGTCTGTGACTTTTGAGTCAATGACCTAAGAACTCGTAATAGGCTTAGCTGAGACATTTAATCCATGAGAACCGAAAGCTTTACATGAACTAGAAACCTTACCCAAAGAACATACCACAGTAGGCTTTTCAGAGATTTTCAATAAGTTTCTCAGCTTTTCAATCTCTTTCCTGTCGAACTCTCCTTGTTTCTGAGACATCTGTAGTACTCCAGTGATATTTCTTCAAATTGGGTGGTAGTGATATCTTTCTTTGAAAGGGTTTGGCAATGAAGGCCTAAACAGGATTCGACAATGAAGGCCTAAAAAAATCAGCAATGAAGGCTGAAAATTTTGCTTCCCAAGAAGAGCCTAAAGCTCTGATACCATGTGAAAAAACTAAGAAATAAATCAGTGTGGAAACTGAATGTATGTTGAAAAATTGCTTATTAAGAATTATACAAGAATCTTAGGTTTATATACAATTAACTAAGGGTTAAACTAGGAAACTAAATCTTCCTAAAAAACTAATCCTATAATTAAAGGATTGTCTATCTTAGTTTTAGGGATACAAATACTTAATTCTAGAGATATAAATATAAATATACAGATTATAAGATTACAACTAGCTATAAATAAGTGTTTTTCCACAATAATGATTTCTTTTAGTTATAAGATCTTATTGGGCCTTTAAATCATTCCCAAACCCCCATCCCACCACTAGTGGCCCTGCCTAAGAAGCTGATGATTGAACATTATTATCTGTTTCTTGTGTCAATGGATATTCTTCAGGTTGTATAAATTTGTTTTAATATTTGCTAAAAGCCTAATGTAACTCCATTGAGTTTTAAGAAAACTGTTGGGGTTAGAAGTGTTGCTGCTAACAAGCCTTGTTTTTCCAAGCATTAGAATGCGTTACTTTAGTCAATGATCATTCTGTTCTATGTTACCACAATTTTTCTCAATGTTTCATGTAACTCCATTGAGTTTTAAGAAAACTGTTGGGGTTAGAAGTGTTGCTGCTAACAAGCCTTGTTTTTCCAAGCACTAGAATGCGTTACTTTAGTCTATGATCATTCTGTTCTATGTTACCACAATTTTTCTCAATGTGTCTTTTAGGCATGCTTTTGTAAACATTATGGCTGGTTTGTATTTTAAAAAATATTTAGATTAAAGTGTCCGATTCTGAAGTTTATTGCAAGTGAATTTTTCGAACTCCTGTTGTTTTGAATTTGATAGATATTATTTTTCAATGTGCTAGTCATGTTTTGCTAAATAATGTGCATTGATTCCATATTTTTCGGTTGCTCTAGTTGAATGAAATCAAGTTTGTCCTTTGCTATGATTGAAAGGTGATTTTATGTTCCGTGTTCATTTTTCAGGCGGTCACAGGTGAATAATGTAGTTGCAACCGGTGCTGGAGGTCGTCCGCTTCCTCAGTTTCTTTCTCTTATTTAAGAGTCGTTTTTTTTTTTTAAATTTCTGTTTATAATTTGTTTTAAAATGTTGATTCTTTGGTTTTCATGTCTGCTAGATGCAACAGGGTTCAATTGCTTCTGATGAACATATCCAGAAGCTTGTATCAATGGGTTTTGAAAGGGTAACAGTTAGATCCCAAGCATTTTGCACCTTTTATAGTTGTATTGCAAGAATTTTGTTTTATCTGACTTTTATGTATCCCCTTTATTTTGTCTGTTCGTAATTGTATTATATGATGTTCGATTTGCAATGCATGCAAATCACGGTTGCCTAAAGAATTTGTGCAGCTTATTCATAGATTACTTTTTCGAGGAGCATAGTTTGGTAATTCAGTAATCATGTGATGGCATTGGCTACATATATACAATGATACTTGCATAAAAAAAAAAAAGTTGGTGGTTGATATCATAAGTTAATGCGCGTTGACACACTCACAAATCAAAATGTCTTGGGATTGTTTCAGATACAAGTAGAAGTTGCAGTAGCAGCTGACTATGAAGATCTCCACGTGGCTGTGGAAATATCTAATAAGCCAGCAGGTACATGCTTGAGACCTAACTCTTAGTCCTAAGTGATTGGTCTTTTATTGTTCTGATTTTGGGGATTATGGGTGATTTTGCTACAGGGATGACCTTGTCTTGTGGCTACTGTATAGCATTTTCTTACACAAGAGCCAACGAAGCAAATAAATAAATATTATGAACAGCAGCAATTGTCCAATTTTTGTTTGAAGCTTTGTGCCATATACGACTCCACCTTGACACTTTAATGAAATCGTTGCCTTTATCTTCAGAAATTTGCCAGATTTGTACTTTCTACGTGGCTTTTGAGTTTTGAGTAATACTCCTAGCTTAGTTGGTTTCGCCGTAACTAACGACAGCTGCTCAATCAAGAGTTTTTATTATCGTAGAGAACTAGAAAATAGTGATCAGGATAGTTGATATAGTTATTTTTAAAAAGTAATATTTAATTAATTTGATATTTAAATTTTAATATTTATATATTTATATATGTTTTATTAAAAAAATCTCTATAATAAATTATTTTGAAAAAGGCAAATTCATCTTGCATTCAGTAAGTATATGGAAACGAAGGCTGCATATCATCAAAGCCAATTTTTATATGTTCCAAGTTTACAAGATTTCAATATACTCTATAAGCACAATAAAGTTTGAAAGAATAAAAAGAATTTAAATCAATAAAAATAAATATCAAAGATATCTTAATATGATAATAATAAATTAAGTCTTATATCACATAATTATAAATATCTTAATATTTATTAATAATAATCTAATCATGACAAAAATAATTTTATTTTTCAGATTATATTTTAAATTATATTTTTTTTCATAATTATACTATTGTTGTTAAAAGATTTTGATAATATAAAAATTGATATATTTTTTATATCATCAATAAAAATAAATATTAAATTTTATAATAAAATATAGATATTTTATAAAATTCATGTAAATTATACTCGCACATGAATTTATAAGACGTAATTTATAAATATTAATTTTTATATTGATGAAAAATATACTCAATTTTTAGGATTAATAAAATATAATTATATTAATATATATTAAAACATATAAAAATAAATATTATTTAATTTAAATTATATTTAATTTTATATCAATTAAAAAAGGCATCCTACTTCTTTAAGAAAATGAAAATATGTTCTACTGGCCTACTACTATTAACCTATTTAATTTAAAGAGCGAAATCTTATAAAAAAAATTAGAAAGAAAATAAATAAAAATGTGAGGTGGCATCGTATCGTACTAGGAAAATCAATCGGAGAGACAGAGCGAGGCGTAGATTTTGGGACCCGACTCACCACAACCTGCCACGTCACTAATTCGCACGTCCCCCAACTCAGTTTCCACGTGTCTTCTTCCTATTTGCTTGTCACCATCCCCTCTTCCGCCATCTCGATTTCCCTATCCCCCCAAAACACCCCCACTCCATGATCAAAATATCAATAATACCCCTTCCTTTGAATAAAACTCGAATGGCCTTTTTTCTGCACTATTTTTTTGTGAGTCGCTTTGCAGCGCCCGCTTCTTCCCTTTAACTTCCCATCATCAAAATTCACTGTTCATTATTATTTTCTTTTTCTTCTCTGGTTTTTTTGCTTTCAATTTCTTTGATTTCTGATCGGACGGTTCTCATCTCTTTCCAACCATGACTCTGATGACTACTCCGCCATTAGATGTACATATTACTCTTTCCTTCCTGTTACTCCCATTAAATACTTTAATATTTTTCGTTGATTTTTTTCTTGGAGGAAGTGCTTCAAGATTTTTCTTGTTTTCTGAATTTTTTTAAATTTTTTTAAAAAATTGAGGTGATTAATTAGACGTGAATTTTTTGGAATTAATTTTGTTTTTTTAATGCATTGAGAGTGTTATAATTAGGGTTTTGATTGAGAGAGTTAGGGTTAGGTTTTGGTTGATCAGAGCTTTGATTTTGTGGAAGTTTGGATTTTGAAACAGCAAGAAGACGAGGAGATGCTTGTGCCGCATTCGGATATAGTCGAAGGACCTCAGCCGATGGAAGGTTTATCTTTTAATTTTTTTAGAATTTTTTAGTTTACTCTAATTCACATTATTGTTTTGATAATCTTATGTTGATCTGAAAGATTTTTTTTTCTTTTGTAATTATGGTATGATTTAGTATGGAATAATAATTTGATTAGTTAGGTTGTTAAGGTTTTGAGATTTGCTTATTTTATGATTTTGATTAATTTTAGTTGCTCAAGCTGAGCCGGCTAGTACAGTTGAGAATCAGCTAGTGGAGGATCCTCCATATATGAAATTCACTTGGACAATTGAGAATTTTTCTAGGCTCATCACCAAGAAGCACTATTCAGATATATTTGTTGTTGGTGGTTATAAATGGTACTTTTCTTTTATTTGTCATTTTTGGAATGTGTTTGATTCGGTCAGCTGCAATCTGTCATATGATCAATTTTTTGGGTGTGCGTTGATTCTTCTGTGCAGGCGGATACTGATTTTTCCAAGAGGAAACAATGTGGATCACTTGTCGATGTACTTGGATGTTGCGGATTCTACTACATTGCCATATGGTTGGAGTAGATATGCTCAGTTTAGCTTGGCAGTGATTAATCAAATCCATCACAAATATTTGATAAGAAAGGGTATATTCTTACTAAGTTTGTCATTTTGTCTTAATTAATAATTTATGACAACAGAGGCAATTCCTACACTTTTCATTTCATCAATTTAGTTCCATCTTGCATTGCTTGGAAACAATTTGTTTCTTCCACTTTTAGTCAGTGCTTGATTGTGTCTTTTGTTATGTAATGTTCATTCATTGGACTTGTCACAGTAGGTGATGGTTCAGCCCGTGAACTTGTTTACGCTCTTTTTCAAACTGGGGGCTTAGGAGCAACAATAAGGATATTTGAAATTTGGTTTCATATATTTATGTATTCATTTATTATTTATTTCACTTGGATGTTGAGAGGATGTTAATGAGATCAGTTGTAACATTTGTAAAGTTCCAAAAATAGACAGGTTTTGATGATAATGAAAATTTTGTGGTGCTCAAAACTGTCTTAATGCTCAAGATATTAGGGTCTTCCTTTTGATGATAATGAAAATTTATTGGTACTCAAAACCATCTTATTCCTCAATAGATTAGCATCTTCCTTTTTACATTCTATCTATACAATCTTTTATCGAATTACTTTTAGATTTTTTCAGACAGCAAGTTATTAACAGGAAGTTAACCGTATTTGTTTGTGTCCTTTTTTCTTATTAATTTTCTTCCACAAGCTTTGTATTCCAAATGGAGTGATAAAAAAAATCTTTTATGTGACATTGCCCTGTTCTATATTTTCTTCCTTGCTATTTTGAAGGTGGTTTACTTTGGGAGTTGAATTTTTAGTGACAATTCTAGTAATATGTTTGTCTTGATTTTGTTTATGTTCTAGTTTTTGCCACATCTGTTTTATTTTATTTTATGTTGACATAATCCTTATTATGTTCCTATTGTTTTTTGAACAACCAACCGATTCCTGTCATTCCTCTTATATGGCGACCGAGTGATATTGCAGAATTTTAAAACTGTATGCCTGTGGTTAAATTTTAAGACCAAAATTAGTATGGAAATATTGCAATGTTTTGTGAAATTGATAATTTGTTCTGGAATAGGGTGATGTTTAGATGCTTTCCCCTCTTGATTAGATCATTTTTGTTATGTTTATTGCAAGCAGTCTGGTGTTTAGTGGCGGGTGGCTGATGTCTGGTGGGGAAGAAAGGAACCTGTGTGATAGATGAATTGTAGATTCTTTCTTGTCATTCCTATTATAGAGATACCAAGTATTTAACATTAAAATTCATCCAAAACTTATTTACTGGCTTCTTTTTAACTTTCATTTGCAGACACCCAACACCAGTTCAATGCAAGAGAGAGTGATTGGGGTTTCACATCATTTATGCCTCTTAGTGATCTTTATGACCCTAGTAGAGGACATCTTGTGAATGATACTGTTGTTGTTGAAGCTGAGGTTGTTGTTCATAAGATACTGGATTATTGGTCATATGACTCAAAGAAGGAGACTGGTTATGTTGGACTTAAGAACCAAGGAGCAACTTGTTACATGAACTCGCTCCTACAAACTCTTTACCATATCCCATACTTCAGAAAGGTGTGAATTCTGTCTCATTCTTATTCCATTATGCTTGCCCTTATGCTCTTTACTTTAATTGGAGTCAAACATCTTATTTTCCAACGTTCTATTTCAGGCTGTGTACCACATGCCAACGACTGAAAATGACATGCCTATAGGAAGTATTCCTTTGGCTCTGTTGAGTTTATTTTATAAGCTCCAATATAATGACACTAGTGTCGCAACAAAGGAATTAACCAAATCTTTTGGATGGGATACATATGATTCTTTTATGCAACATGATGTACAAGAACTCAACAGAGTCCTGTGTGAAAAGCTTGAAGATAAAATGAAGGTATTCACCTATTTTAATCTCTCTCTATGTTAGTTGTTGCATATTAAATTATGTTATTGATTATTCCCCCCCTTTTTTCAGGGAACTGTTGTAGAGGGGACAATACAGCAGTTGTTTGAGGGTCATCATATGAATTATATTGAATGCATCAACGTGGATTACAAGTCTACAAGAAAGGAATCTTTTTATGGTATTTATTCCTTACTGATGTTTAGACCCATATTAGTTTGGAACACTGACATGTATACCTTAAAAGCAAACAGTGAGTGTGCATATTGTTTGGCAGACCTTCAGCTTGACGTCAAGGGTTGTCGGGATGTTTATGCTTCTTTTGACAAGTATGTGGAAGTTGAGCGCCTTGAGGGTGACAACAAATATCATGCCGAAGAGCATGGCTTACAGGTCAGTTACTTTTCTTTTGAGGTGATGAGAACTGGGCCAAAATGTTGTTTCATTGAAGGACCATTTATCCAGTGGTTAGGATAAAGCGTAGACAAGGCTATGTTTGACAATTTATTCTATGGTTAGACTTTATCGGTGAAGTATTTTTTTGGTTTGAAATATGGAATGAAGGTTTGACCCATCGAAGTTGATTGAAGCAACATTCTGCTGGCATAAATTAGGCTAATCTGATTAGTTTTAGTTGAAATGACATTTCTTAGTTCTGTGCTGAAATTCTGTTGTTCATTTCAGGATGCGAAGAAAGGTGTCTTATTTATCGACTTTCCCCCTGTTCTTCAACTTCAGCTAAAGCGGTTTGAATATGATTTTATGCGGGATACAATGGTGAAGGTCCGTCTTGGAAATCAGTTTATTGCCAAATGCATTGGATAATTGGGTTGCTTTTGTTACTCATTTTAGTATTTTATAATTTCAAGGCTTTGTACTATGTAATGTGATATGCAAGAAAAACATTTATGATACCTTTCCCTGCTTCACCAAATCCAATCTATATGTTCAAATACTAATTCTCTTATTTTAGTTAAACGTTTCTCTTTTACTTGTCAAGTTTTCTCATATCCCCTTTCTTCAATATTGATTAAACATGTTGTGAGGTGTTTCAGAAAACATTAATAAACTCTTCTCTGTACGTAACAACAAATCATGTGACAACTATATTGCTGCTATTTATGAAAGAAAGTTTTCTTTCACAATTTTTTTTTATCTTGGTGATGCTTGTTCCATCTTCTCTTTGTGTGGTTTGCTTTTCATGACTGGATCCAGTATTACTGTCTGATCTTGTTTAAAATTTTGCCAAATATATCACTTCTATGAACCTGCTTTCCTATGATCAATATTTTAGTTTTCTCTTTCAGAGTGATAAGCATCCTTTATGTCTTTTCAATGCTGGGAATGAAACTCTTTCTTTAAGTGGGTGTTGTTGAGCTCTTCATGTGAATTTAGATACCATGCATGTTAGCATGGCTATTTGTATTAATAGCTGCTTTCATTTTGTAGATAAATGACCGCTATGAATTTCCTCTTCAACTTGACCTTGATAGAAAAAATGGGAAGTATTTATCACCTGAAGCGGATAGGAGTGTTCGCAACCTTTACACACTTCACAGGTATTACTTGTCTTAGATTGTTCTATAATTCATGTCACCTACTTATACTTGGAATGTGTTTGTAACTGATGCAAGTTGGTAAAACATTTTACTAGTTGTTTCCCTGCTTTACTACCCTTGCTTAACAGGAATTTTTTTTTTTTTTGCATGTCCTGTTTTCTCTTACAGTGTCTTAGTTCATAGTGGAGGATTGCATGGTGGACATTACTATGCTTTTATCAGGCCAACCCTTTCTGACCAATGGTGAGCAACATTTTTGAATTGATAGTTGACTAATTCAATTACAATCTCACTGCACTGGTATCTATTCCAATTTTTCTTGAATTGTAAGAAGAATTTCGGAGAATATTGTGATTGACTTAAGAAATTTTTTTTCCATGGTTAGTTTTAGTATTTCATTTTTTATGTTTGGTTTGCAATTTCAGCACTTCTTTTCCTTGAATATGGAGATAACAGCAGTATTATACTATAGAGTTGTTTAAGAAACTAAAGTTGTTTTGAGACTTAAATTTAAAATATGACTGCTTTCTGGTGTTTAACTTGGGCACTTCTAAGTTGATCACATTTTATGGAGTATTAAGTGTAGTTTTTCATTGTTGATCTTATTGTATTGTATGTTATCACACCAAAATATATTTTGGCATTTAGTGTCAGCTGCTTTTCCATTTAATATTGGCTTTAGTTAATGTTTGTTTTATATGGGGAAAAACTACAAAGTCATGTTGGAGGGGACACTGAAACAGATCTCTCTGTTTTTTTCAGGTATAAATTTGACGATGAACGGGTAACAAAAGAAGGTATAAAGAGGGCATTGGAAGAGCAGTATGGTGGTGAGGAAGAGGTAATGTTTCTATGTGCTACTTAAAAACCCTGTCTACTTGTGTACAATATGTAAAAATTAATTAACTTTTTTGGCTTGTTCTGTTATATTCAACAGTTTCCACAGACTAATCCTGGCTTCAATAACACCCCTTTCAAATTTACAAAATACTCAAATGCGTACATGCTTGTCTATATACGTGAAAGTGATAAGGACAAAATAATTTGCAACGTTGATGAGAAGGACATTGCTGAACACTTGAGGGTAATTTCTTTACATGTAACCGATGTGAAACCTCTAACTTTTGGGCTTTATGCTCTTTCTAATGCAGACTTTGTTGATCAAGACTAATGTATTCAATGCTTAATTTCAGATAAGGTTAAAGAAAGAGCAAGAAGAGAAGGAAGACAAAAGGAGATATAAAGCGCAGGCCCACCTTTATACTATTATAAAGGTATCTATCTATTACAATTAGCCAATTAGGGTTATGACATTTTCAGATTTTTTCTTTTCATGTTAGCAATAATGAATATCATTAATGCATTTAGGTTGCAAGTGATGAAGATGTTCTAGAACAGATTGGAAAGGACATATATTTTGATCTTGTGGATCATGACAAAGTTAGGAGTTTCCGCATTCAGAAGCAAACACCTTTCCATGTTTTCAAGGTACCATTTATGATTATTTCTTGTTTGATTGTGTCTAATTTAAAACGCAATTGAAACAAAATATCTGATCTGATTTTTGTGGTTGATGACACTGCTGGTTAATGTTTGTAAGCAAAGCCTAACATCAAACTTCTGATTGTCTTTTTGATTTTATTTATTTATTTTACTGTTATTGTCTAACAGTGTATTTCTGAAATTTGTATTCAATTCTGAGAATATGCACTTGACTTATTTTGATAGCTTTTTTTTTTGGGGGGGGGGTGTTGCTAGGGGAATTTTTGGGGTTGGTGTTTGAATATTAGTCATGCTGATGACCAGAGGGTATTTGAGGGTACTAGGGGTTGGAATGCTTAATAACGAGTTAATCAAAGAGAGTTTCACTTTTAAATTATATTATTGGAATCTAAAGTCAAATTTTGAAAGCTGACATGGGATGTCTTTGTTTTTAGCATTCCATAACTTATATTAAGTACTATAGTTATGTCTGCTTTAGCATGATTCTTAATTTTTAGTACTGTACTAATGAGCAAATGACTTTTTTTGTCTTTGGCATCTGTTTCTTATGGGTTTGGTAACATTATCATTTTCTTTTAAATGTGTAATTCTGAGCTTGTTCACAGGAGGAGGTTGCCAAAGAGTTTGGCATACCAATGCAATATCAGCGTTATTGGATTTGGGCAAAGCGGCAGAACCATACATATCGTCCCAATCGACCATTGACCCCTCAGGAGGAGGCACAATCTGTAAGTAGTTCTATTTTCTTCTCTTCTGCTTTGCATCAAGTCTTTCACATTGTTATATATAATATACATTTTTTGAACTTTTTGCTTGTCACTACTGTGATTTCTAATAAAAGGGGGATTCAGTGCTGGTGATTTACGTGGGAGTGAAATAATAGATTTTTTCTAATTTTTTTTGGGCTGAATAAAGTATGTTGACTTAAATAATATTTACACATTTGTCCGAATTTAAAGAAAGTATGTTAGACTTAAATGATATTACACATTTGTCCCTTATCGAACTCTTTTGTCTTTTAGCAATTATTTATTGTTTAGAAAAGTTTATAATAGGAATTTTACTATGAGGCATTCAATTAAAGAAAGATGGAGTAGTTGGTGAGGAGTACTGTTTCTCCTAATTTTTTGGTTTTTTAGTTAATCCTGTGAGTTAATGGTTTCTGTTTGGTTGTTTTAGGTTGGACAGTTGAGGGAGGTGTCAAATAAGGCACACAATGCAGAACTAAAATTGTTCTTGGAAGTTGAGCGTGGACAGGTAATATTGTTCTATTAACTATTGTTTTGAGTTTTTAAAATAGTAATTTTTTATTGTTGTCTTATCATTTTCCTTTACCTCATTTTGTGTGATAATTTCAGGATTTACATCCTATTCCCCTACGCAATAAAACAAGGGAAGATATTCTGCTTTTCTTCAAGCTTTATGACCCGGACAAAGAAGAATTACGGTATCTAACTTTTCTGTTTTATCTTGTATATTCTATGTTTCCTTGTACTTCTCCTGAAATTGCACTTTGTTCCATTGTAGTTATGTTGGTAGGCTCTTGGTAAAGCTTTCTGGTAAGCCAATAGAATATATAGCGAAGCTTAATCAAATGGCTGGCTTTGCTCCTGATGAAGAAATGGAACTTTATGAGGTTGTTACAGCTCAACTGTGTGTTTGCAAACTAGCTTCAATAGTTTTTCTTAATCAAATCCTCTTACCAGTTGATTTTGCAACTTTTAGGAAATAAAGTTTGAGCCTTGTGTGATGTGCGAGCTCCTTGATAAGAGATGTTCATTCCGGTTAAGTCAGGTATATTTTTTTTAGAACATACACCATTTTTAAAGTAAATTGCCAGTGAAACCGTCTTTCCTTGCAGATAGAAGATGGGGATATCATATGCTTTCAGAAGTCTCCTCCAATTGAAAGTGAAGAAGCATGCCGATATCCAGATGTGCCTTCATTTCTGGAATATGTACACAACCGCCAGGTACAGTCCACCGAAACCTATTAATATGTGGTGACTTCCAGAATCTGTTATTGGTATTTTGCAGTTTCTTGTAAACTTATTTTATGCTGGGAGGCTGATAGTTGTTTATATGCTACCCTGTCTTATATATGAAGCAACAGAAATCCTCCATTTTCCCCTGGTATTAATTTTTTAAAACCGTATGTAAAAATTTAGAATCTAGTGCCAGAGAGGAAAAGAGATATCTTTACTTAGTTCCTGTAATACACTATTCATTGACATGAGATCTTTCATTCTTTCTGGGTGTTAATTGATAGTTGGATGTTAAAAGGAAAAAAGGCCTACCATATTGGGAGTTGTTTATATTTAATTTAATGAGCTGGTTTTTACCAAGAAAGCTTTCATCATTTTAATTTGTTCAAGACAAGAAACTGCATTGAACCTAACAGTATAGCTTCCATTAGGCTAAAAGTTTTAGATTGTTTTGGGAGAATTGCCAATCACATTCTTGGTTCTTCCCTCCTAGGGAGCATTCCCCCTAATACTATTATTATTATTTCTTTATTAGGTTTAATTCAGTTTGTGTTCTGATTCTTTGAACTCAATTAAGTTGTTTATGTGATTTGATGCTACTTAGATTGTTCGTTTTCGATCTCTAGAGAGACCAAAGGAAGATGATTTTTGTCTAGAGTTGTAAGTACTTCTAATGCTAACTATTGTTCAGATAGTACAAGAATTATTAGTTATTGTTGTCAGATACTTATACTCCATTTCTTCTGTAACAATTAAGGTCAAAGATACATACTTATGATGATGTTGTGGAAAGAGTGGCTCGCAAAATTGGTCTGGATGATCCATCCAGAATCAGGCTCACATCTCACAACTGCTACTCCCAACAACCTAAGCCACAACCTATTAAATACCGAGGAGTAGAGCATTTGTCAGAAATGTTGATCCACCATAACCAGGTAGCCCATATCGGTTTTCTGTTTGACATCTTGCTATGTTAGTTCCATTTATGCATAATATACTTTGACTGATTATTTTGGTGTTTCTTCATTTACAGACTTCTGACATTTTATATTATGAAGTTTTGGATATCCCTTTGCCAGAATTGCTAGGTCTGAGAAACCTGAAAGTTGCTTTCCTTCATGCTATTAAGGATGAAGTAAGTATAGAATCTGTAGTTTTCCTCCCCAATTCCCTCTTTCTTTTACGATCATTTGAGGATTTTTGGCCTTTCTGTAATAACGTTTAACATGATTTTTAGGTGGTAATTCACAGTATTAGATTGCCTAAACAGAGCACTGTAGGAGATGTGATTGATGAACTCAAGACGAAGGTAATTTTTGCTACTTCTATTTTACATTGTAAATACTTGAAACTAAGAAGAAATGGACAGTGTTATTAATGAGGTGGAACTCCTGTGGCTCTGTTTTTGCAGTGACTGTCATCTTTTTTTTTTCTTGACAAAATCATTTTCTAGTCTCCTTTTATTATAGGAAAATAACTATTATATGAATATTCATTGGAGAAGCAACCAAAATCTTCCACATATTTCCTTATCATAAGTTTGATGTTTCCTTACACTGAAATATTCTGTTTATAGTGTGGTAATGCAAAATCCCTCTTCTGAAGAGGGTATCTTTGGCAGTATTATCTTTATTGACTTCTCATTAAACTTGAAGTTCATATCAAATTACAGTTTTTCTTTTTTATTCTGCACTATGAAACAGGTGGAGTTGTCACATCCAAATGCAGAGCTTAGACTCCTTGAAGTCTTCTATAACAAGATCTATAAGGTAGAAATTGGTTGAAATTTTATTGCTAGTTGTTGCAATTTAAATTATATATAAATAATGTTCCAGACAATTGAATTTTATGTCCTATTGGAATGACTGAGTATACTTTTCTTGTAACATTGTTATTCCATCTCTTTTTTTTTTTTTTTTTTCAGATCTTTCCACCCAGTGAAAAAATTGAGAAAATAAGTGACCAATATTTGACATTGCGTGCAGAAGAGGCAAGTTTTCCTTTTTTTTCCATCCCACTGTAGCTGAAATTTCATGGCTAAGATGTCCTTCAGACAATGTTATTTTTTAAGTACATATATGGGAAGGACTGTTTTTTATTGAAGTTATAGGGGTATAGCATTGGAAGCGGTTCATCAAAAAAGGGGTCATAAGTAACACATTCTATTGTTTTTACCTGAATTTTTTGAGAAGAGCTTTCTAATGCTTGAGCATGTACCAGCTGTCTACATCCACTGTAGAGTAGATGAAACTGGCAGTCTATTAACCTTCTTACCTCTATTCTAAAGATAGAACCATAGAGTTTTATGTATGTTTGAGTGTGTATGTGCATCCAGATGTGACACGAGATGGACAATGGAATGTTTTGAATTTCAAATGGACGCTTGACATTGATACCTACATATTGGACCAAGTGCTGGTTCCTAAAGCTTGTTATATTTGATAGGAAGTATTGCATTCGACAAATTTGTATCTTGTCATTATGTCATTATTTGTATCTTGGTTTTTCATTCACATATGTTGTTTTTTCAGACTATTTTAATCTAGCTATAGCCCTAAGCCCAATTTCTTAAGTATTTGTTCATGATAGAGTCAGCATCTCTAATCTTTTGTTATAGATGTTTGCAACATCTATTAGCAGAACTAACCTTTTGTCATTTTTATCAAATCTCAGATCCCAGAAGAAGAGAAGAATCTTGGTCCCCATGATCGACTGATTCATGTCTACCACTTTACCAAAGAGACTGCCCAGAACCAGATGGTATTCAATATGAATGAATTGATAAACAGTCTTGATCTGTTTTGAGATATTTGGTGGAAAATGGCAGCTATTTAACACAATTCAGATGTTTTAAGAATTTGTGTTTTTTTTTTTTTAACAGCAAGTACAAAATTTTGGTGAGCCCTTTTTCTTAGTCATTCATGAAGGTGAAACTCTGGCTGAAGTTAAAGAGCGGATACAAAAGAAATTGCATGTTCCTGATGAAGAGTTCTCCAAGGTATTTCCATACTTATCTTAATCATCTCTGTTAGTCCTTTCTTTTTTGCTTTTCTTCCTGAACTTGCAATTTTAGCATTTTTATTCTCACTTGCACTAACATCTTTTCATGCAGTCACACATTATTATGTACATGGAATCCTGAAATCAGTTTTTGACTTCCCTCTCCTGATTTTTTCTCATTTCTTTATTCAGTGGAAGTTTGCATTTATGTCAATGGGTCGACCAGAGTATCTACAGGACTCTGACATTGTGTTAAACCGTTTTCAGGTGTCTGGGTTTCTTCATTGTGTTTCTGTCCTCTCATTTGATTTTTTTTTAGGATTTGTATTTTTTATATAAAATGGTGTTTTTGATTTATTTTATATACTCTTCAGAGAAGAGATGTTTATGGTGCTTGGGAGCAATACCTTGGGTTAGAGCATTCTGACAACACTCCTAAGAGGGCTTACGTAAATCAGGTACTACAATATTGTTGACTACAGTTGGTCCTTAAGTGTTATGCAAAGTAATGCATTTTCTAGTATGTATTAATAGCCTTATATATATATATATATATATATATATATTCTCCTTATCCCTGTTCTAATTGTAAGTTGCATGCGTATAACTATTGCAGAACCGTTACACATTTGAGAAACCAGTTAAAATATACAACTAGTAGAAGCTAATTTTCCATTAGCACATTAGTTGATATGAAGATCCTTCAATGCCTTCGATGGCATTGTAGATATGGAGAAAATGCAAAGGGAGGAGTGACATTTTGGACGGAAGGATCAAAACTTGCTTAGAGAGAATTCATGTAGGGCTCAATTACTGTTTTTCATGCGGTTGAGGGAGGGGGATAGGTTATAATTGTAGTGTTTTCACACTGTCGATGCATAGCGTGAGCTATTGCCTGGCTTTGTATATATCTCGCCTTTTGGCCTTTTTAGGATGGCACCTACTCGATCTGAGAGGTTGCTGTATTTCCATATATAGCTGTGTAATTTAGTAGTACATATGAAGATTTTGACGGGATGTATACTGGGTATAGTTGGTTGCAGTTGTAGATGACTATTTTTTTTACTTCCTTTTTCTTGGTTTATGTCATGTCCTTTGTCCCATAGGAGCGTTTGTCGTAAATTTTTGGGATTTTAGTGTACAAGAAATCGACTGCTCTTGCAGTAGCTCCTCTTTTTGAGCTTCTATTTATTAAATATGATTTGATCAAATAAGACAAAAAAAAAAAAAACTTGACTAATCTTTAGTACACATCTCCATTGATTAAAAAATTATTGGGGAAATCAGATAATAGGATCGCTTTTATGTTGCACATCAAGCAAATGAACTGGTAAAGTTCATTAAACTATTATCGGTTCGGATCTTATTTACAAGACTAAATAAGAAATCAGCCCACCAATAGTATCTACAACAAGATGATTCATGCGCACTAACAGCAGCAAGTAAGCTCGTTCCTTAGGCCCTGCAAGCACGGGAAAGCTCGAATGATTTAATAGTAAAGGATTGGATTTACATGGTATTTTTTGAGTTCTTTACAAAATGGATAGACTGTATCCTTTATCGAGGAAGACGGCTAATGAAACCAATACCACTACTTGCCATTGCAGTAAGTTTTCTCTATTAAACTAATGGAATATAATCAACAGAAAGAAACTGTAGGATGCAGGTCATTACCAAGTCCAAGGATTGAATTTCATCTTGGTGGAAATAGTTATATCCTTTTGTTTTCTGTGTCTTGCTCAAACTTGAGTTGATCTTCTCAACAGCAGCAAGAAGATCCTGAAAGCCCACAAAGAACCAAGAAAGCTTTTTATGATTAGATGATTATCAACCCCGAAAGCAGAAGTTACAATTTCATTATAAAGAATTTGTAAATAAAAAAAAAGTTAAAAAGGATTGTGATATTCAATATATTTCAGATTATCAGCATCTAGAGAGAATTTTTAATCAATAAAAATCAGCTTTTCATCTTCTGCACAAGGTCCAGCTTCACGCCATAATGCATTTTCTTTGCACGATGTCAAGGAGAAGAAATAGTTTCAAGAACAGGTTTTAATTAGTTTTTACCATTTTAATTCCGCATTTATTAACTTTCCAAAGAGTTCTAAGAAAACCTTCCTGGTGTGGCTTAATCATAGGGCACAACTCTGTTTTCTTTTGCAAAGGTTTATTACTTTAAAACATTAGATGAATCCCCAAAAACTAAAAACATAAACTGCATACCTCCCATGATGCTAGGCTTGTCATATAAGAGGGAAGACTCTCATAACCATCCCTGGATACTTGTATTACATGCCTCGGAGCTTCAACCAGATTTAGGTCATTTTCCCCTTGTCCAACATTTCATGGCGTATTATAATTTAACATAATAATACCGGTTAGTGCCTGCTATTTCTAGTCGTAAACCTGAGAGATGGATAGACAAGGGGATTTGAAGTGTGAAAAACTCGGTAATTTCTACCTTCGGTTACTTCAACCGTGTCTGTAGCCGGCTTGTATGTACTCTTAATGTTGCTTTGTTTATCTCCATTGTACCTGCAATTTTAGGTTCAGAGAGAGTTGTAAAGAAACGAAAAGAAGAGCAGAAAAAGAGAAAGAGGACTTAATACAATATAAAGAACTTTTAAAACTCCAAACACTTAATGTATTCCTTCATAAGATAAATCCGAGTCATCAATCTTTTGATTAGCTGTGGAGTGTTGAGAGAAAGATGGCATTAGTAGAAGCAAAAATTGTGGTAGCAAAGCTAATTCCGATCTAATAAATAGAAGAAATTGAGTAATTAACTCTAAACCCCTCTCAAAAGGGCAAAAAATCCAATATATCTTCTATGGCTAATCATAACAAATAATGATTCCAATATTGAATCTAAAATTTAACTTAATTGATCCATTTAACGATCCTTAGAAATTGATATTCAACGGATCTATCTGTATCCCTTTTCCCTATCCCTGGGTCTCTTTGTATCAAAAAAAAAATTCCAATAATGCAAAGAAAGGGACAAAAAAAAAGGGGGGGGGGGGGGGGAGGCCATTTTGATTACCTTGAGATGCTATAGTGGCGAGACAAACATCAGAGAGCCCGAAATTCTTTAGACTCAGTGATTAACCAAGACTGAAAGAAACAACATCAAGGGAAAACACTAATTTCTTTTTTATCAGTTCTTATAAAAATAAATAAATAAAAACTTTTGCAAGTTATGAAGAAAAAATTGAAGGATACAACAGAGGATCTTCTTCCAAGCACTTCATTGCTGAACTAGTGACCGCGAAAGGTCTCTCCTTTGAATCCAAAATTTCCTCTTCCTCTTCCACCTCATCTTCAATTTCTAAGTCAAAGAAAGAGAAAAAGCAAAAACATTTAAAAAAAGTTTCCTCTTTTTTTTTTTTTCATTTTTTTTATGTAAGGGACTAAAATAAGTAGGAAATAAAATTATTCATACAGGGGAGGTAACCGTGAGGCTTAAGATGATCTTCGAGATCGAGAAGATTGGTTTGGTTCTTGTTAAAGATTTGATAACAGTGACCTAAGAGTTCCTCGAATGAAACGGTGCCGAAGGACATGGAATCGAGAAGGTTCAGGTCGGAGGTGGCGGTTGAAACGCGGCGGTTTAGGCATTGAACGAACGTCGAAGAAGCGGAATCTGGATAACGAGAAGTATCATCAAAGTAAGAAGAATAACTTTTTAACAAATGTAGAATAAAAATTAGGGAAGGCAGAGGTAAATAGGGTGGGTAACTTAATTCGGTGAATTTCGATTCGACCTAAGTTTATAGGTCAATTTTTTTTTTTTTTAAATCAAATTTTGGGTCGAGTTATGTTGGGTAGTGTTTCTATATTATAAAAAAATAATTTTTTTAAAATAATTTTTATTTATATATATTTATATAATTATATATTTAAATATTTATATTTTAAAAAATAATATTTTATATTTAAAAAATAATATTTTATTGATTTCGGATCGGATTGAATCGGATACGGTTTATACACTATCAGATCTGATAGAGTTTGAGTATAAAAAAAATTAAAAAAATTAAAAAAAATTCGAATCGGGTTGAAATCGGGTTTGATGAATATAAAATCGAATTGAGTTAAGAACGAATAAAAATCGGCCTCGACCTAACTTGTTATCAACCCTAGACGTAAATACCATAAGAGATGGGACGGCGATCGATGAATTGCTTAAAAGCGTCACAATTGCTTTAAAAGTGGTTGCATAATGAGCTTGGGGTTTTACTGAATTTATTATCAAATCTTTCACTTTTTGAAATTGTCCCTCTTAGGTTTGAACAAGCAAAGAAAAATACACTTCCCTTTTGCATTTGATTTTGTTTTTTTTAAGTGCCAAAGCCCATGGATGACCATGAGTTTCATTTTTGGGATAATCTCCTAAATGGCTTATGAACAATTGTAATTTTTTGAATTTGGTATCTAAATTAAAAAAATTGCTAAATAAATGCTTAAATTATGAGATCGTATATCAAGTTGGTCCAACAGTTAACTCCGTTAGCCTAAATACTGACTTGACTATTTTAGCCAATAAAAATCCACCATGTGGATACAAAATGACATGTAAGCATGCTTATGTGGCTTATGTGGCCAAAAAAATATAGAAAAAATTGAATTAATAAAAAAAAACCCAAACAAATTAATTCTTATAAACCCAAATTGAATACCCAAACCTTAAACCTCAAATTCGTAGAACGCATAAAAAATTTAAGCAAAATTGAAGCTTGTGAAAGGTCTAAAAATAAGCTTGTGAAATCGAAGCTGCAACCTTGTGAAATCTAAACCACAACCTTCACAAAATCAATGGCAAATAAAGAAAGCAAGATGGGTGAAAGAAGATATAAAGGTTTTGTTAAAAATTCAACGAAAAAAAGTAAACATTCTAGGTAGTCACGATCAAGCTGTAGCTTGAGAATAAAAAATCATTTGACTTCAATCAGTTGTTATTATAGAATAATGACTCTAATTCGTAGGTCGACAACAATGAAGAATCCATGAAGAAAAATTTATAGGTATGGAAAGTTCAAAGAGGTATTTGACATTTGTTGATTTATGCAGAGTTGATCTTGTGTTGATGGATAAAATTGAATTTGTTTCTGTTAATATTTTGCAAGGAATGAATTGTAATTTTTTTTAGTGGGTTGAAGATGGGCATTTATTGGATAGTGAAAATGCAAATTAGAATGAAGAATTGAGTTTTGAAAAGGACAAATCGCTAGTTGAGAACAAAAAATTGAGGAAAGAAAATATTGCATTCAAGAAAAATTACAATAATAATGAAGTTAATAATCTTTTGAATAAGGTTTGGGTTCTGAAAATAAAAATAAAAAATCATATAAGGATTTGGTAGCAAAAGTCGAAGACTAATATGGTATTACAATATTGTGTTACTAATATCTTGGATAGTGTTTTTCATTTTCATTTTAGGGTTTATTTATTGTAGATTGAAAAATTTTAAGAATTTATGAAAAAACTGTATATTTTATTGTAAATTACTGTAAGAATGAAGTAATGAAATGAAAGCAATTACTACTATGTGTCCCCAATTTAGATTCTTGTTATATGCTACCACAATTTGGTGGTTTTGATTTTTTGAATGTAAAAAATCTACTGATTGTATTTTTTTTTATTTCTAGCCATTTGCTTAAATCTTTTTGTTTTCTCATTGCAAGTTAGTTTAGCTTTTAATTGTTGGCAAATTATTTCCACATTGGCTATAATGTTTGTACCATCTGTTAAAGCATACAATTTTGTCATTATCTTTATTCATTTCCATTTCTTAGAATTGAATGTTGTTTGCAACTATGATAATTGGTTTACATTTCTTTTATAAATAGGATGAAACCAATTGATCATTATACAAACATGATTGAAACCAATTCATTCGTCTAGGTCCATCACCATTTCACAAACAAGATGAAACCAATACATCAATGATCCATCATGAAACAAGTTCATCAATTTCTTGCTCATTACATATAAAGAAATAGATGATGATTATCCAAAAAGAGTAGAAACAACATCCATAATTGAGCCATAGACAAAATAAAACAAGATGAAACCATAAAGAAAATGAAACCCTTTCATTCATCATTGACTAAAATCAGTTCATACAACATCCAATAGCATACCTTCATACACTACTCATTACACAAATAAATTGATCATGAATATCCAAAAATGATTAGCTACGACATTCATATAAGTTTCTGAAAGATATCATGTTCATAAACATTCATATTAGCTTTAACACAAATAAATTCATCATATTCATAAATAAAAAGCACAAAAAAGTTACAATAAGGTATCTTGTTCAAAAACAACATTCATATCAATTCCTAGAAATGTTGTTAGACTTGGTGCTCCTTAACTTTTATCTCTCAGCTTGGCTTTCTTGTGTACTTTTATCTCATTTGGAAGAGTTAGAGTGTCATCAAGTGCTCTTAAAGTTTGTCTTTTTCTCTTGATGCCTAACAACTCATTTATTAAATTTTGTATTAAAACCATTAAAGTATTACTAAATAATGCATCAAAATCATATCTAGTAACATATATACATAAGTTACCTCGACCAAAATAAAATTTTCATCTTCATCTTTATTTCTAGTAACACCATCTAAATGGTCATCAATCTTCTTATTCAGAAAACCATCTACAACTTTTGTTAATGTTGATGCATGCTTAGCATTTTTTAGACAGAGATTAACATCTGACCTTTTAGTCTAGGCTGTTTGATAAAACATAATTCATTAGCATATATACATAAATCCTAACGATCTAATAGCAAAACAACAAAATTACACAATAAAGGAACCTTACATTTAATATTTGCATTCCTATCTTTTTATTAACATATATGCCCATTCTTTGCATAATTTTCCTTTGCCTGTTTCCAAGTGGTACAAGTTTTTTCATAATTTTATATTTTCCTTTTTGATAGGTAACTTTGGACGTATTATGGCCTTTGTTACTGTATTGGTTGCTATAGTCTGTCTTGATAGTTTGCCTACTGTAGTTTATATGGATGTTGTAGGAACTATAGTCTGTGTGGGTGATGTGACTGTCGGTCTAGTCATTATAGGTGGCTTGGCTACTACCGTGATCACTCTAAGTAGTGTTGCTGCTACTCTGGTCATTGTGGGTGGCTTGGCTGCTACTGTGGTCATTCTGGGTGGTATGGCTACTGCTCTAGTCACTCTAGGTGGTGTCACTTTGGGTGGTGTGACTGCTACTACAGACACTGTGGGTGGAGTGACCATTTTAGGCACTTTGGGTGGTGTGGCTGCTGTTCTGGCATGGTCTTCCGATCTTGTAAGTTTATAAGGCATAGATGTATTCATGTTTTCAGCTTGTCCTACCTGGTAATGCATAAAAAAAACATAGCATTAGGTTTTAATCAATTTGTAAATTAAACTTCAGATTGTAACTTACATTTTTTTTATGGTCATTTCCTTTAACTGTGACCAAACTTGAAACATATTCGACACCCTAACTTCCTTACTTTCTTTGATAACTTTGTCTCATTTAAACTTTCACCCTCTTTTATGTTTTTTTTTTTTTTATCTACCAAACATCTTTTTAGGAAGTGGTGGGTCTATGTTTCTATCTAGGTGGTAGGCTAGAACTTGTCTCTAGGAATAGGTGGTAGCACATAACTATAGCATTTCTCATACATTTCTTTCTTAAATACATGTGTAACAGATTTTTCAATTTTTTTATTTTTAAAAATTATGACACATATGGCATGAGGACATGGTATCCTTGTAAAATTCCATGACTTGTATGTGCATTTCTTCCCTCTCGTGTCTACCATAAAACTATCCTTATGACATTTAACCTCATATCTATCACTACCATTCTATACAACATGACAAAAAGCATTAAGTTCCTTATGCTCTTTTATTTTCTCACAAATTTTAGGACAGAGCAACTTAGTCCACTTAGCACATCTAGTTATATCGTCAACAATTCTTTACATCACATAATGCCCAATTTTCTCAAACATTGACATGATAGACATATGCTTAGCATAAATAATCCTAGCATTAAATGTTTCAGTTAAATTGTTATCCACAACATCAGACAAACATTTAGTACTAAAAAATACCTTTGACCAATACTTAGGATTTCTTTTTAAGATATCAATTAATGCTGTAGCTTTCAATACTCCAAGTTCTTTTACTTTTGTTTTGAAGTAAACCTCTATTGTAGCTTTACTGCACATCCAGAATTGTTTGTAAAGGTCACTACCTTTATGTATTTTCTTCCAATTGGTAAACCAGTGTCTTGCACAGAATCTGTGTTTAATTTTAGGAATAACAAAACTTATGGCATCACATAAACCTTACAATAATATATGAAAAAAGTTAATTAAACATTCAAAAGTAACAAACCCTAAACTTTCAAAATATAAAATTGTATAATTATCATACACACCTTTTGTATGTCACTCATGATAGTGAATCTATTACCATCCTCTATTTGAAGACTATCTTTCAAGTTATCTAGAAACTATCCCTAAGTATGCTTATTCTCTACCTCCACAAGTGCCCAAATAATAAAATACATTTGATTATCGTCATCTCTACCAAAAGGAACCAAAAGTTCAGCTTAAAGGTCCTTTCAAAAAACATCTATCTGCATAGAGCAAAGGCCTACAGTATTTCTGAAACCCTTTCTCAAGTACACTAAAATAAACATATAACCTCGAAACCTTGGTCTATGTTTTGTTGTAGTCCTTTCAATCACTAAATCTACGTGTCCATTTAGATCTACATTTATCAGAGTAATAACATAATCAAACAACCTTAAAAACTCATACTAATATCTGCCAATAATTTTTTCTTGAGCTTTCATCCTAGCACTTCTACAAACTCTTATTGTGACATTAGCGTTTATCTCCTCTTTGGTGAACCTTTTCATCTTAACCAACTTCAAGTCAAGAATAATCTTAACCTTGACAAGAAAATGATAAGCTAACACTTTATAATCTACCATTGAGTTTTTGAAGGTAATAGTAAACTAATGCTCATGTCTCAGTGTCTTCACCTTGAATAACCCATCTTAGTTATCTATTGCAGCATAAATAAAGAATGGATAGTCTTCATGTTTACAAGCAGCCTTGACCCTATATTTCTCATTCCTAAGGTATCTATAATCAAACCTTTTTGCAATTGCAAGTTTGGTCAATACATCCTTGAATTGCCTTGGACCATTAAAAATTATGCCAATCTCAAACCTAGGAACTAGATCTAAAGGGTTAAAGTATTTCTTTTTACTTTTCTTATATACAACCTCTCCATTTTCACAACTCTCATAACTATCTATATCTAAAGAGTCATATAATCTATATCATCCTCTTGATTTGTTCTATCCCCACTATTTTCACCTACCTCTTTTTGCTTTACTTCTTTTTTACTTCTCTTGATCTCTTGCAAAAGACCCTCAAAATCTACTTTTAGTGGGATTTAATTACTCTTTACTACTCTACTTTTTCCTTTTTCTCTTAACTTAGTGCAAGATGTTTTAATATTCTATATTTTCTCATCATCAATACCTGAGCCCTACTCATATTCTTCAAAAGGTTCTTTCTCATTATCTAAATATTGACTCTTATTTGCACTCTCATGTGAACCCTCAAGTGTACCTATATCTAACACAGTCACATATACAAATGCATGTCCTAAATTACTATCACTGTCAGCGCACCTACCTACATTATTATCATCTACCCTATTAATGTTTATAACCCTTTTGTAAATTAATGTCCCCATTAGTTCCATATTCCATATTACATGTATCCTCTTCATTGTTCTTCCTAACCTCCTCATTATGCTCCTAACTTGACAATAATGGTACATCATCTACAAACTTAGGTATATTAACCCCATGTTCTACATATACATATATCTCTCTCATTACCCTTATATGACTATCATTATACCAAATAATGCATTATCATAGTATAATATTAATCCATCTTTAACACTAGACCGTGGTGGCAAGTAATAAAACATAGTAGAGCACCATACCTAACCTTTTAACCATGTTGCACAATATAATGAATGAAATCACTTCAAGATCTACATATTATACATCTACATGCCCACCCACATAGCTTATTTCTGGATTTGCTACAAATTTCTCACTCAAATGCATGTGTAAAGAAAGCATCATAAAAGCCATTAGTTTAGCTGAATCAAAAGCAACAAAAATAAAATAAACAAAACCTTTAACAATATAAAGAATACAATAATGTAGACAGACTGAGACCATATTGCAAAATCCAAACACACAATCCAACATGCATGTAAAGATTGACCAAAAAGAAATGTTGTGCCCAAATAAAAAGATATACAAAAATGAAGTGCTATGCTCACATAAACTCTTATTAAATAAAAAAGCATTTGAAATAAAAAAAAAAAGTCACCATTTTTGTAAACCCTAAACTTTTTGTAAACCGAAATAAAAAAACCCTAAACTTGAGAATAAAAAAATCAACATACCTTAAAAATTTTTGTAAACCCCAATCGATTTTTACTTTGCTCCACAAAATCGAATCCAAATACTCTACAAATTTCCTTGTGCCAGTCGATGCCCATGACATGTCTTATTCCAACAAAGAAACCCAATCTTTCAATCAAATAATGTAATCGAATCTAACCTAAAACTTTTCAGTTTAACGTTTTTTTTTTCACTTTTTTTTTTATTATCAAAAGAACGATTCAGATTTTGGGTATGGACAAAAGAACGATCTGGGTGGTTGAATTTGAGTTTTTTTTTTATAATTTAAAGCTTTTGATTTTTTTTATTGGTTTAGGGTTGTTTTATTTGGGTTTAAGGTTAAATATTTTCTGGCCACATAAGCATGCTTATATGTTATTTTGTGTTCACATGATAAATTTTTATTGGTTAAAATAGCCAAGTCAGCATCAAGACTAATAGAGCTAACTCTTAAACCAAATTAATACAAAAATTATAGTTTAAATGCCTATTTAACAATTTTTTAGTTTAGGCACTAAATCCAATAAATTGTAATAATTTAGAGGCCATTTAAGATATTATCCCCTTTTTTTCATTAGTAAAAGAATATTGACACGTGAAGATAGTCATCAAGGATTCCTTTTCTTATAAGCGTTTGTTTTTCGAGTGGAAGTTATAGGTTCTACCCCTGCCTCATGTTTTTTATCCACATATTAAATTAAATTAAATTTTTTTTTTAATTCAAGGAAAACATAAGTATAAATCGTTTCCAAAATTAAATAAATTAATTTTGTCAGGTTAATTTGATTAATTTTTTTATTTTTAAAAATAATAAATGAATAGATTGAATTAATTATTTTTTAAATATTATAAATATAATATTATAATTTTATTTGTATTTTTAAAAATAAAAAATTATATTAATAAAAAATTAATAAATTAGTTTTATTTAAGGAAAATTTTTATAAAATTATTATTTAAAATTGATGGCAAAATAATGGTTAAAAATTTTTAGTTTTTCCATTAAACCTACTGATTTTTTTTGTTTATTTTGAGTTACTTGAAAGTAAGTTAAGCGATTTTTTTTTTTTTAAAGCAATCAATTAAATTAATTCTTGATTTTTAAAATCCAACCAACTAATTACTTACCTCTATGGCAGCTAAAGATAAGAACAGTAAAAAATTCTAAGTATCCAAATTTAATTATAAACTTGTTAAATACCAAATTTTAAAGACTATATAAATTGAACTAATCTTCGAATTTACATTAAATTGAATTTGATTGCTGAGAAAAGAGTTATAAAATTTTCTCTTGGCTTCAGATTCCATAGAAAATAAATTAAAATGAAAACTTTCTATATTCATAATGTAAAGGAATTTCTATTGGTTCCGAGTAAAGCCATTGATAGGCTACCCAGTTAGTTTGAACAAGAAATAGAAGACAAGCTAAAATGCTCATTTATGCACAAGTTTATGCCTCCCTGTCTTTCTCTTTCATGTCGGAGAGTTGAGGGATAAGTTTCAGGTGAGTTCTCCTTTCAGTGCAGCAGCAGCTCTTTGAATGGCTCTAGCAACTCTCCATATCTCATGCTGAATTGCTGCCTGCCCATCCCTTTGGCTCATTCTCATTGATTCAGAAATGGCATCTGATATTCCAGGGAAGAAAACCAAATTGCTCTCCTGGTTGCTGCAAGGTCCATAAATCTACAAGGAAAAATGATGCAAGATGAGTTATACAAATGCCATTCATGAGCTTTACACTAGTTTATTCACAATCAAACCATTTTCATTTTTAACTTTTTATGCACCCATTTTACAAAAACAGAAACAATCCGCTCCTCCCTCTTAACTCGAAAGATAGAATGTTTTGGAGGCGATGAAAATGTGAATTAGAATCTTTGAGCCATATGAATAAGCAGTAGACAAACTTGCAACAGAAAGCTAGAGCTCTCACAGACTTTAATGAAAAGCATATGTCATAGAAGCAAACTAATTATTGTTTCGGTATGTTAAACTCTGTCCTAATAGCAATTTTCATAAACACTTACAAGATGCTTGAACCACTCCCTTCCTTTAATTCCATCCATATCTAAGAAGCCTCTTTCAGCAAGCATCAGCCTATCGTTCAATGCTCGCATCTTCAAAGCTAAACGATCATCAGTAAATTCTTGCTCCATCAGTGTCTGCATTCCAGAGTGGAAGATGCCACAGCTAGTTGATAAGAAAATGACAACTTTTTATATCATTAGTCCAATAAACTTTCTTGCCTTTTACCTTTGCTTCATCATTAGCTCGTTTAGCAGCAGATTGAAGTTCTTTAATGGATGTGACTAGCGGAGTCAGAGATACGCTATCATCCAAAAAACTGCTCAAGTTATTTTTATGCTCCTACATCAGCCAGTCAGAAAACAGTTTCAGTATCTAGCTTACGAAACGTATGGCCAAACCTTTAAATCAGACAAAGTTACTATCAGCAAATGATGATGCAATATAAAAAATTATTGCTTCTTCTACTTCAGTAGCCCTCTTTCCTGTTTTCATTCCTTCCTAAATAGACCAGGAGCTAGCATTGAAGAAAATGGTTAGGGCTCATTTCATTAGACTTGGTGGCTGTCATTTAAATTGCCAGACACCGGACCTGATTTTTTGTCTAATCACATCTGAACAAACTCAATCTTCTGGATTTTTCCCCATGTGTTCATAGACTCATTAGACTAATTCTATGATGTGAGGTGTGAGCATGGTCTTTCCGTGAGAAACAGGTAGGGAAGGAAAAGGGGAGAGGATGTCATTAACTCAGTAATCAAATCACAATAACCAATCTTGAAGAAAGCATATATTCTTTGCGTCCAATGTTTCCAAATGCAGATGGTTGGATCAATATTTTTTTAACAAGGTACTTCAAGGAACTAGATTAAAGTCACCAGGGTCCAATTATTTTAAGTTGGTTTTAAACGAATGACTAACATCTCAACTCAACAGACCAGAAAGTTTTAACTACATTATCTTAACCAGGGTGCCTCTAACAATCAACAGCCCACCAACTTTGTACGAGAAAAGTAACAATAGAAATGAGAGAGAGGGAACACTCAGTGGTATGCACAAACATAACATGAGAGAATAGCTATGCACCTGCAACTGTTCTGCATAGGAGAGGTAATTGAGAGGTAGAACTGGATCATCAGCAAGGTGAAGACCTAGAAGACCCCACACTCCAGCCACTAAAATGTAGAACAAAAAAGCAGTGTTATCTTCACAAGTTGATAGTTTTAGGTTTCATTATTAAGTCAGAGTTCCAGATTTAAGGTGGGATGTGTTGGAGGAAAAGAAACTAACTAGCTACATGACGCCAAAAGAATGGATCTGCATGGTTTATCATCCAGTTGAAGTCATCATTAGCAGTATGATATACAGGAAAATCTGTATAAAGAAAAAAATTCAAACATTACAAATTGTAGCAGTAAAGATTCAAGAACTGCTAGAGATGCATCATGTTCAAACTTTAGACCAAAAGACTGTTAATATAGGGATAAGGATGTACCTCTTCCATAGTATATATCGACAGAAGGAACCCCAGCATGTTGCAAGAAGGGTGCAAAATCAGAATCTACTCCACTGAGTCTTTCAATCTGCCAAATAGCCATGACAATCTCAATTAAACTGCTAAGACAGCTCCTTTAATTTTATATAAGAGGACTCATAAATGAAGTGCAATCACATTGAAAAAGTGCTTGGTTTCAAGGGAATAGATAGCAGCATTTTCCTTTTCAGTAGGTAATTTTTATGTCATTCTAAATTTACAAAGGGGCAAACTTAAGGACTCCTTATCATAAAGTAAAAAGGAACCAGCTCAAATAGGCATCGAGTTTTTCCTATAATCAATTATTTCTCAAGCATTCACCTAGATCACATCACAGTAACAAAGTTTCTCAGGTAAATTGTCTGGTAGAGTTGCCTGTCATATTGCATCTAACAATGAAAACCATCATCATTCAATTGGCCAAGCATAATTACATGCCAGTTGGCCTTTTCCGTTGATGCATAAAGCTTGCTTTTTCAATGATCATCATTCAATGAAAACCATGTCTAGAACTGAAGGCAGCCTAACATTCGTTCCCCACACCCCCTTATGAATTAAACCAACTGAACCTAAAACATGAAAATAAAGGAAGCTTGCCACATGTTACATGATAAGCTCCGAGCAAGTTTGGCAGCATAAACATGCAATCCCAAGAAAGATACATAATCAACAATTAAACTTGTGTCAATGGTAAAGGACAATCTATACGTACGGATTCAATGTATATATACTATACTTAAAAGCTAAATAAATGAATTCAACATTTTGAAAGATAAAGATTGTGAGGCCCTACATTGCTGATGCCATTCATGGTTATCCACTTGTCATATATCGTAGCAACCTCGGAATCAGGATCCTTGACCTGAAATTAGTTTGAATATTATTGGAACATAATAAACCAAATCATAAAAATAACATGTAATTCACTCTTTTTTGCCTCTCTCTTCTGTCTACCTTCTTTGTGACCTCAAAAATAAGATTATCTAGCTGAGGAGTTGCCCTAGCAAAGAATCCAGGCCCTTGCACTGCACAATCTACATTAAGGTACGCCACAGCTTTAGCACCTAGATTCACAAGGTTCAGCTCAACCCACTCTGTGGAACCAATCTAAAAACAAAGCCAACAGATAAAAATAACTTTAGAGAATTAATGGACAAAATTAATATAAAACAACAAGCTTATATTAAGTTGATGATTATCAAAACCATGTTAATGTATGTTGCAAAAAGCCTACTAAAGATTAAACTTAAAAGCTTGGTCCTATAGAGGAACCTAGGCTCAATATAGCACCAGAATACTATATACATCACATTTACATTCAATCAAATGATTTTCCCTGATGTATCAATGTCATCAGAAACCAGATGATTTGGAAGATGGATTATCATTCTATACAGCGGCGGTGGATTAAGTGGGGCTAAATGGCTGCCATATGTTCATTTAATAATTAATTTACTTATTAATTTTCATAAACATACCCTAATGGGACACAAGTTAATCCTCTAACCCAGCTTGTGGAGTTTAAAATCTTCACTGCCAGTATATAGGATAATATTCCTTTGGAAGATTCAGTATTTAATGCCCCAACGGCCAATTCACTCCACATGCATCGCACTTTACAAACCAGTGTTAAATAAAGATAGAACATTACCTACCATCCCAAACTCTTCAGCATCCCAACTGCATAAAATAATTGTTCTTCGAGGGTTCCAACCCTTTCGCATCAAGAGGGCATATCTTCGAGCAATATCAAGAAGTGTTGCAGTCCCACTGTTGGGGTCAACAGCTCCATACGTCCATGCATCTCTATGATTCCCCATAAGCACATAGCGATCTGGCTCTTCCAACCCTCGTATGACAGCGAATACATTATGAATCGTTGCCAACTTTTTCTCCCCCTAGAAGAATAGATCAAAATGTAAGAATCAAGAAAGATATAGATTAAATTCTGCCTTCCATAAAAAATTAGCTAAATAACATGCATAACCAGAGTTGATTTCAGTTATAGCCAGAAATAAAATAAGTAAAAACATCTCTCATACGCATGGATGTCCTATCATGCAATATTAATTCTTAGGTATAAACTAATGACCTTTTCTGCCTTCTAACAAAAACAGACCAGAAAGAAAAGTAACCTTAACCCCAACAACTTCAGATGTGCAGTTAAGAAAAGCATATAATAAAGCTAGGTTGCAAATACCATACAATTTGCTAGGGAACTACTAGCTAAAAACATAAAAGTTTATTTAATTAATGATTATGCTACATTAATGGGATCCATACAAACATTGCATAGGAATACCAGTTATAGTTGAACAGTGCATTTTCTCAGGCCAAAGAAGAATGAACCAGCTGCAGTAGTGGAAAGTCCACAGTGAGGGTTCAAAAAGGTAGTTTGAAATCACCCCAAGTATTTTCTTTCTCCTCGCAAACTGGTAGAAACAAATCACAATCCCATAATGCTCAAGCAAAGTTGATTAAGTGTTCAAATTAAGCTTAATGATGACAACTTGAGCTGATTGATTTTGATTCATTGCATAAAACATATAATAACTTTATTTTCCGCCAAATTTTACTATTTTCCTTGGCAAAAGAAAAAGATACAAAATCCCCCAGACAAGAAAACATGCAAGTAGTGGTGGACACTTATACACCCTGTAAAGACAAGCCAAACTCCGGCCCAACCTATGTACACTTCCTTCACTTACCAAATATGCACAGATGACTGAATATTAAATAAAAGTCATGAATTACAGGGTTATTCACTTGGCAGTGATTTGAAACTTTTCTAAATTAGATCATTCCACTTCTTAAAAGAGCACCAATAACCCCCTAATTTACCTAACTAGCTTTTTTGCCTAAAAATTGCAGCTCAACAGATAAACCAATCCAGCAAAAGAAACTCTGTTTTCAGTCAAATTTTTAACATCGAAATCAATCCAAATTCAATTCACGATCTTGAAAAACCCAATTTGACCAACTTTTAACAAAAACATCAACCAAAGTCAACCACTTTCCCATTGTAGACAGCATATCCAGAAGTAAAATAAGCACAAACATGCAGTAACAACAAATAAAGCATATATAACTAGCATCAACAATCTACCAGCCATCCAACCAACCTGGTAAGTAAGATTCAACAGAACTTGATCCGGTCCAACCCCGGACAACTTAGAACGACCGGAATTCCTCCATTCTTGAGGGGCCAAAGGACCCCGAAGAGACTCTAAAATAAGCTGAGCACTCTCAAAAGACAAGGGCAAAGATGGAATTCCAGGAAACCTGTCCAAAACCTTATTGTCCTCTAACTCCAACCTCTCCCCATCTTCAACCCCAGCCCATCCAGGACTTAAAGGGTCCCCAACTCCCTTCATAACTGTCCCTCTTTCAACTCCAAACCCAAAACTACCCCTTGAAACATCCCCTTCAGCATACATTAGTACCCCCAAAGCACCTTTTTTTTCAGCTATTTCCACGATGGCCCCTCTACTCAAACTACCACCTTTTTTAACTATAACTATGCAACCACTAACGTTTACTCCCATCACTCCCAGCACACTGTAATCATCTTCGCTCCCATAATTCACAAAAACTACTTTACCCTGCGCCGTTCCTGACGGAGAATATGCATGGTAAGGTTGTACCAAGCCTAAAGATGAATAATTAGAAATACCCATTTCGTTTAAAGGCAAGTCTAACACGGTGCCGTTATAGAAATGCATTGAAACTGAAGCATGAATAGGGTAAGACAAAAGGGCTTTAAACGGCAGTGTATGCGTTTCCAATCCAAGGTTTTCAAAGTGGGATTTAACGTAGTGGATCGTTTCAAAGGAAGGTTTTGTGCCGGCGAGATGAGGATGGGAAGTGAGGGACCGCAGGTAGGAGGAGATGGTGTAGTTGGAGGCAGAAGAAAGGAATATTTGCTGGAAAAGAAGGGCATTTTTGGGATTTCTTGGTGGGTAGTGGACAGTGTAGAAACCTAGAATGCATAGGATTGTCAGGAAGAGAAAAGTACAAAGTGGTGATGGTTTTGAAGTGAAGCTGTTGTTTGATTTAGTAAGATTTTGAGACATTTTCTTCTCGTTCTGTTTCTTTTTCTTTTTTGTTTTCCCTTCGGGCTTTGAAGACGGTTTTAATAAGATGGTTTTTGAGTTTTTATAGAAGGCCTGGCTGCCTGGAAGAGGTCTTTGTTTAGAGAGAGAGAGAGAGAGAGAGAGAAGCTTCACGATCAGGCTGCTGCTGTTACAATTTACAAAACTATAAAAGTGCCGGACATTCTACTATATTAATGTTTTTTTTTTTGTACATGTATTTTATAATAAGGTGAGTTGTAAAATGAAAGTGAGATGTATTTTTGTAACGTGTGGTGTGATATGACGGTGAAGGCAGCTTCATTTCATGCATGAAATGAAACTGAACTGATCTGGAGTTTGGTCTGGTTTCATTTTCAAGGCAGGGAAAGAGCGTGAGGGGACCACATATCAATAGTGCATTTTTTTTTTTATAAAAGGAAAAAGAAAAATTTTGCAGGAATCCAAAATGGAGCAGGAAATGAGAATTTATTTTGTTTTTGAGAAAGGTGAGGGGGAAAGGGAATGTGCGTACTCTAAGTATATGGGGAGTGAATCAATGTTTTGGGGGGTGTTTTCTGCCTTTTATGGTCCCACCCTGTTGTTTGAAGGTAAAGATGGGGAATTGGAATCAACTGGGACATTCCATGCATTAAGGCGGCTGATGTTTTTTGGGGTGTTTTGAAGGTTTACTGATTCAAGCATTGTACAACTGACTTCTTTTATCAAATGATTTCTTTTCTCCCCGTATGATCAAAAGTTCCATTGTCAATTTCCAGGCTTAAATCAATGAATCTTTTATTTTCTTTTTATTTTCTTTTCTTTGAATTTAGTGAAAATATTATTGCCTTACCAATACTATAATCATAAACCACATTGTTTCCTTTTACAATCATTGAATAAGTAACGAGAAATAAGTGGCCTTTGATCTGCATATCCTTGTGTAGTTGCAGAAAGACCTCTTAGTTAAGAAAAAAAATGGATTCCATCCATGCCAGCAATAAGAAGAAACTGTTGTTCTTCATCCTCTTCTTGTTACGTTTAAAAAAAAATTAAGTGAATTATCATAATAGTAATGATAAATAATAATAATGAATTGCATTAATATTTAGTTATCAAAATTTCTTTTTTATTTCATTTTGACTTTTTTCTTTTTTTCTTATTTTATGATTAGAAAGAATTTGTAACATGCGAATATATCAACACGAATTTTCGCCCAAAAATAAGCCTTTATAATTAACAAAAAAGCCTTTTATCAATTATAAAAAAAAATTAAACATTTATCCGATCGTTTCTATAAAAGATGGTATCAAAAAGTAGTGTTGGTTTTATAGAATAAAGAGTTTTTAAGTTTTATTCAATATTTTTTTAATTGATACAATTAAATTTATTTATGTCAAATCTAATAAAATTGTAAACAAACTTTCATAATTTTTTGATGAAATTTAAATTAAAAAAAAAAAAAAAAACCTTTCTTATCATTTGAGTCTAAGGTTTATAACAAGTTTTACATTAATTAATTCCTTTTTTTTATTCTTGGGATAATGACTTATATGACTCGTGAACTAATGTATTTTGTTGAATTTAATATCTAAACTAAAAAAATTACTAAATAGATATCTAAACTCTAAAATTAAGTATTAATTTGCTCTAAAAGTTAACTTTGTTAGCTGAGTTACTGACTTGGCTATTTTAACCAATAAAAAACTATTATTCGAATACAAAATGACATGTCATGCTTACATATCATGCTTATGTAGCCATATATTGATTAACTCTAAACCCAAATAAAAAAAACCTAAACTAAGGTAAAAAAAATCCCAAAATCTCATCTATAAAAAAACCCCAAATCGTTTTTTTATCATTATCCTAAACCCAAATAATCTTTGAAAATCAAACAAGAAAGTAATGAAAATGACCTTAAATTAAAAAGTTTAGGGTTACATTCAATTACACCATCTAATCGAAGTATTGAATTTCTTCGCTGGAACAAGACAAGTCTAGGGTATAGACTACAACAAGGAGATTTGTGGAGTATTTGGATTCGATTTTGTGGAGCAAAGTGAGAATTGATTTGGGGTTACTAAAAATTTTAAGGTATGCTAATTTTTTTATTCTTTGGTTTAAGGTTACAGTAGTTTTGGTTATGGTGACTTTTTTATATCAAATGCTTTTTTATTCAATAAGAGTTTATATGGGCACAGTACTTCAATTTCGTATACCTTTTTATTTGGGCATAACACTTCCTTTTGGTTAATCTTTGTATGTTGGATTGCGTGTTTGAATTTTATGATGTAGTCCCAGTTTGTCTGCATTATTGTATTCTTTATATTGTTAAAGGTTTTGTTTATTCTATTTTCGTTACTTTCGATGCAGCTAAAATAATTACTTTTATAATGCTTCCTTTACACATACATTTAGGCGAAAATTTTGAAACAAATCCAAGAGTAAGCTATGTGGGCAAGCATGTAGATGTATGAAGTGTAGATCCTGATATAATTTCATTCACTATGTTGTGCAACATGGTTAAAGAGGCTGGGTATGGTACTACTATTATGTTTTATTGCTTGATACCAGGGTCTAATGTTACAATAGATTAATATCACGTTATGATAATGCATTATTTATTATGATGATAGATCATATGAGGGTAATATGAAAGATATATGAATATGTGAAACATGAGGTTGATATACCTGACATTGTAGATGATGTACCACTATTGTCAAGTCAGAAGCATAATGAGGTTAATAAGGACAATGAAAGGGTTGCATAAATGGAACTAATAGAGACATTAATTTATAAAGGGATGAAAATATTAATAGGATAGATGATAATAATGTAGGTGGGTAGGCTAACAGTGATAGTAATTTGGTAGATGCATTTATACATTTGATTGTGTTGGATACAAGTACATTTAAGAGTTCACAAAAAGACATAGATAAGGGTCATTATTCAGACAGTAAAAAAAAACCCTTTGGAGAATATGAATGGGACTCTAATATTGATGATGAAAAAATACAAAATATTAGAACATCTTACAATAAATTAGAGAAAAAAAAAATAAGGCAATGAAGAGTAGTGAAATCCCATTAAAAATAGATTTTGAAGTTCTTTTGTAAGAGATCAATATAAAAAAGAAAAAAGTAACGCAAAAGAATGTAGATAAGAATAGTAAGGCTGGGATAAATCAAGAAGATGATACAGATTACATAGATTCTTTAGACATAGGTAATTATAAAAGTTATGAAGATAGGGAGGTTATATGTAAGAAAAGTAAGAAAAAATACTTTGACCCTTCAGATCCAATTTCTAGGTTTGAGATTGGCATGATTTTTATGATCTAAGACAATTCAAAGATGCATTAACCAAACATGCAATTACAAAAAAATTTGATTATATATACCTTACGAATGAGAAACAGAGGGTTAAGGCTATTTTTAAACATGAAACTATTCATTCTTCATTTATACTATGATAGACAATGATGATGGGTTGTTTAAGGTAAAGACACTAAAAAATGAGTATTAATGTACTATTACCCTCAAGAAAAAATTATCGGTAGATATCATTATGAGTTTTCAAAGTTGTTTGATTATGTTGATGTTCTAAGAAAGGTAAATCAAAATGGATATGTATATCTGATGGTTGAAAGGCCTACAGCAAAGCACAAACCAAGGTTTTTGAGGTTGTATGTTTATTTTAGTGCATTTGAGGATGGGTTTCAAAAATATTGTAGGCCTTTACTGTATGTAGATGGATATTTTTTAAAAAAACTATTAATAACTAAACTTTTGGTTGTTATTGGTAGAAAAGCCAATAATCAAATGTATCATATTGTTTGTGCACTGGTAGAGATAAAGAATAAGCATACTTGGGGATAGTTTTTGGATAACTTAAAAGTTGATCTTTAAATGGAGGATGGTGCTAGATTCATTATCATGAGTGACATGCAAAATGTATGTATGATAATTATACAATTTTATCTTTTCAAGGTTTAAGGTTTGTTACTTTTGAATGCTTAATTAATTTTTTTCATTTATTATTGTAGGATTTATGTGAAGCCATAAATTTTATGATTCTTAAAGCTGAACACAGATTTTATGCAAGACACTAGTTCATCATTTAAAAAAAAACCTATAGCAGCAATGACCTTTACAAGCAATTCTGGATGTGTAGTAAAGTTACTACAAAGGCTGAGTTCAAAGCCAGAGTAAAAGAACTTAAAGATTTAAAAGGTACAGCATTAACTGATATCTTAAAATGTAATCTTAAGTATTGGTTAAAAATATTTTTTAGTACTAAATGTTCGTTTGATGTTGTGGACAACAATATAGTTGAGGCATTTAATGCTAGGATTATTCATACTAGGCATATGTCTATCATTTCAATGTTTGAAGAAATTAGGCATTATATGATGCAAAGAATTGTTGACAATATGACTAGATGTGCTAAGTGGACTAAGTTACTCTGTCCCAAAATTCGTGAGAAAATAAAAAAGCATAAAAAACTTAGTGCTTGTTGTCATGTTGTATAGAATGATAATGATAGATATAAGGTTGAATGTTGTAAGGATAGATTTATAGTAAACATAGGTGGGAGAAAATGCACATGTAGGTCATGAGATTTTATTGGGATCAATGTCCTTATGCTATATGTGTCATAATTTTTAAGAATGAAAAAATTTTAAAATATGTTACACATGCAAATAAGAAAAAAATGTATAAAAAATGCTATAGTTGTATGTTACCACCTATTCTTAGAGACAAGTTATGGAATACCACACAGATGGGAGACATAAATCCACTACTTCTTAGAAAGATGCTTGGTAGACCAAAAAAGAATAGAAATATAGAGGAAGGTGAAAACTTAAATGGGACAAAGTTATCAAAGAAAGAAAAAAAGATAAGGTGTCAAATTTGTTTCAAGTTTGGTCATAATTCAAGGAAATGTTTATAAAAAAATGTAAGCTACAATATACTTATATGATTTGAAGTTTAATTTTCAACTTGCTTAACCTAGTGTTCTATTTTTTATGCATTATAGGATAATAGTACATGATAAGCTAAAGACATGAATACATCTATACCTCTTGAACCTACAGGATTAGAACACCATGCTAGAGCAGTAGCCACATCACCCAAAGTGACCAGAGCAGCAGCCACACTACCCACACAGACTATAACACCCACAACACCCATAACATCCACACAAACTACAA